AGCGTGAGTTAGTCTTTGGCAGCGACCACCCATTCCAAATGCTGGGGAGTTAGGAGAATTGCTGTAATCATTTTTTTAAGAGATTAGTAGAGGGAGGCGTTTGGGGACCTTATGGTCAGAGCATTTTCCCTGTTGTTGCTGTTGGTGCTTCTCCCACTGTGACAACCGTCCCTCCCCTCCTCCACCCATGATCATCTTTCCTATAAAATATCTCCTTACCAAGTTTTTTTTTTTTTTAATAATATTAGAAGCAGTCAGCAAAATCTTTCTTCTTCAGAACTGCTAAGTGAGAAAAATTCCTCACAACTCTGTCATAATCGATTGCTCAATAAATGGTTGCTGACTGATTTGCTTAGTATGCATGAGTCAGTAGGACTCTAAGGGTTGGAATTCAAGGTAAAACTCCTGGTCCCTACCCCAGGTGCTCAGAGTCTGGCTCTGGAGCGAAACGCTTGTTTTGAATGCCGCCTCCTCCACTTATTAGTCCTCTATGCCTGGGTTTCCTATCTGTAAAGTGAAGATAAAATCAGGACCTTCACCTCAGGATTGTTATGAGGAGTAAATGAGTCAGTGAGTCAGTATTTCTGAAGTGCTTAGACTAGTGCCAGCACATCAGTAATGCTGTTTGCTGTTTTGTTAGTCTTAGTGGGTTGTCTTAGTCTGCATACATCAACATCTGAAACTGTAAAGATGAGCTCTGTTGCTATATAAAAGAACTTTTAAAATTCGCTTGAGTCTTCATTTTAAAAAGTATTTTTGTATGTGTTTTCCATGCCTAAAGAAACTGTATACTGGATAGAGCAGGTCTGTCCTGCTCAGGGACGATAGAAGTTGAACTAGGACCTGAGTGTTCTGTTTGTTTGTTTTGCAATTTTAACCATTTTTTATCGTGATAAAAAAACATGATATAAAATGTACCGTCTTGACCTTTTTTAAGTGTACCTTTTAGTCGTGTTAAGTATATTCACAGTGTTGTGAAGCAGAGCTCCAGAACATTTTCATCTTGTACATCTGAAACTCTACACTCACTAGCTCCCCCTTTCCCCTTCCCCACCCCCCAGTCACCACAGTTCTACTTTGTTGCAATGAATTTGCCTGCCATGGATCCCTCACATAAATACAATCATGCACTACTTATGTTTTTGCTGTTTTCGTTTTGAAACTAAATTCTTTGGAGTGAGAGGGGAGACTGCTTCCATGCAAGAACGAACTCACCTAAGAACTAAGAAAAACCCTAAACAAACAGTAAACCCTCTGGGTCTCCTGGGCCTGTTCCTGTGGGCATGATCCTCATCTCCTGAGAAAACGACATGGGTTCTAATCATAACCCAAAGAAACCTGGTAGTCTTTTGTTAGTACATCTTCTGTGCCTTTGTGTCAGCTAGCTTCACGTTCTGTTGTAGATTTGGTCCTGGGAATAAATATGTCCTAGAAGTAAAACCGTGGCCCACTGTTAGCATACGTCCCCCACGTTCCCATTTTAGAAGGACCTAAGCTTACTTGTGAGGAAAGCCCAGGAACATTTTCCGGGGGCTCCTAACCCAGGACTCACGGATCCTTCAGGGGTCCACGGGAAGAATTCTAGGTGGTCTGTGACTTGGGTGAGAAAAAAATTACATTTTATTTTCACTCACCACTCACTAAAATTTAGCATTTTCTTTGAGTGTAACTGTAGGCAACAAACCACAGTGGTGTTAGCAGTGTGTTAGCGGAACCCCTGGCTTCACCACAGATACTGTTGTATCTCATGATAGCCATTGCTCAAAACATCATTCATGTTCATAAATACTTCACAGTTACAGTAACTGTCAGACCTGCTGCTACATCTTATTGAAAGTGTCAATAAGGAAGCACACATACTGCCTTATCACAGATTTTAAAATGATAGCTGTATTTCAATCATTGGTTTCCCTTATAATCCTGGGTTTTTAATTTTCTGTGTATAAAAGCATTGATCTGAGAAGGGGTCCATAGGCTTACCCAGACTGCTGTGGAGGAAGATAAGAACCCCTGAGAGCAGATCTAGGAGGTTGGAAGGCACATTAGTCATTCTTGACTATTTCATTTTTGCCGGCATGCGTTTTCCTGCTTCTGGCTTTTCTCCCTGCCCTGGTCTCTCTTCCACTCCACTGCCAGAATGATTTTCCAAAGGACACATCTAACATTTCCTTCCCTTCCTGCTCAGGGTCCTAGTGACTCTCCCTGTGTAATATCCAAGGCCTGAGCAAACTGGTTCCTTCTGTATGTCTAGGTCCTTTATTTTATTTTATTATTTAATTTTAATTTTTTTTGGCACTCTCAACCTGGAATTTTATACTCTCACCAGAACTAATTTTATATTCTAACCTGAGCTATTTGAAATTTAACATGAGTCACTTATGTAATTTAAAATTTTCTAGGAGTCACACTTCAAAAAGTGAAAAGAAACAGGAAAAATTAATTTTAATATTTTTTTACCCAATATCATCTAAAATATTATCATTTCAACATGTAATCAATATTCAGAATTATTAATATACTTTACATTTTTTTTCACACTAAGTCTTTGAAGTCCTGTGTATAGTTTACATTTATAGCACATCTAATTTTGAACTGGCCACATTTCAAGTATGTAATAGCCTCATATGGCTAGTGGCTGCCATACTGGACAGCATGGTTCTAACCGTACTCCAATTATTTTTAAGTCCCCACACTACCATGCCAGTGTGCGTGCTGTTCTCTCCATCAAGAATGAACTTGTCACCACCACCTGTCTCAGCTCAAATGCTGCCTCCTCCTGAGACTTTCTCTGACTTTGGATACGCTCTCTCTGGTATGTGCATCTATTATGACACTGATGAGATGCATTTTAACAACTGGTTTATATATCTGTCGTTCTTCTCAATGTACTGGAAGCTTTTTGAGGGGCAGGAACCAAGTCCTTTCATCTCTGAACATCCAATGTTTAGTGGATATTTGTGGAATAGTGAATGAAACATCCTCAGCCATGGTTTAAATCTTTAGGACACAAAAGCGGAGAAATTGTTTAAATCTATAGGACACAAGTAGTTCAGCTGGAACCACAGGACTTCATCAGGGGAATCCAGAAAGGAAGAATGGGGTCCTGAAAATGAATGAGTTTGTTTAGGAATGGACACTCACGTGTACAACGTGAACTGCTGAGCGTTCCTAGCTGGGTTGAGCAGGTTATGAGCTCTGGTATTTGTAGACAAATGTGAGTTTTTAGGGAAATATAGAGCCCCTCTAGCAGGCCTTTTGTAGTCATTTAGTGGATCCGATTTCTTTCAGTGACTTAACTATGGTATTGTTTAGCTACACAACATACAGAACATTTCAGTAGCTCGATGGACGTGAACTGCTGAGCGTTCCTAGCTGGGTTGAGCAGGTTATGAGCTCTGGTATTTGTAGACAAATGTGAGTTTTTAGGGAAATATAGAGCCCCTCTAGCAGGCCTTTTGTAGTCATTTAGTGGATCCGATTTCTTTCAGTGACTTAACTATGGTATTGTTTAGCTACACAACATACAGAACATTTCAGTAGCTCCTGGCGTAGTGTTGGATAGTTCCATGGCTTCCCTCCCAATTGCATCAGCTGCCTCTGTCCATTGTGTGCAAAGAGTCCTGGGGCAAAGGAAGGGCAGAGCATGCAGGCCCCTAAGTGGGTAGCGAGAATTGGCCTAATGGTGGGAACTCTCTGAGATGCAGGAAAGGCCATGCTGGGCTGTGGAGGGCCCGATTAATTTGACATGCAATTTACAGTGGCATGTTTTTCAAAATGTTCCCATATTGATGAGTTCAGAATATTCATGTTTTTGGAAAAAAGATGGTGGCACTTTCATATGTAGATAAAAACCATTCAATCTAATTTGAGCAATGTAGTGTGTTGTAACTTGAAACTTTTTTTTTATTAAAGTATAGTTGGCATACAATATTAATTAGTTTAAGGTGTACAGCATAGTGATTTGATATTTATATACCTTATGATGCGATCACCACACTAAGTCTAGTAACTATGCAAAGTTATTATGATATTGACTATATTTCCTGTGCTGTACATTACATCCCCGTGACTTATTTATTTTATAATTGAAAGTTTGTACCTCTTATTCTCCTTTACCTTTTTCACCCAGACCCCCTCCCCTCTGGCAGCCATCTATTTGTTCTCTTTCTGTAAGTCTGTTTTTGTTTTGTTTTATTTGTTTGTTTTGTTTTTTTAGATATCAAATGTAAGCGAAATCACATGGTATTTGTCTTTCACTTAGCATAAATGCCCTCTAGGTCTATTCATGTTGTCGCAAATGGCAAGATTGCATTCTTTTTTATAGCTGTGTAATATTCCATTGTATACGTGTACTACCTCTTCTTTATCCATTCATCCATCAACAGACATTTAGGTTGCTTCCACATCTTGTTTATTGTAAATAATGCTGTAGTGAACACTCTTGTGCATATATATTTTTAAATTAGTGTTTTAATTTTCTTTGGATAAATACCCAAAGGTGGAATTGCTGGGTTTAGCAAAAGCTGCGGATTGAGTAGCGCTAGATCAGGCCTGTTGACA